GCACCTTCTAGCTTCTCAGCTGCGGTGTAGGCCTGCCCGGCTTCCTGGAAACACTGGGCTGCCCGTGAAGGGTCTTGCATCCCCAAGTAACAATAGCCCATCTTCATATAGGCACCGGCCTGGTTGCCAGCCTGGGCTGGGCAGTAGTGACCCAAGGCCTTGCGGAAATGCTCCAGGGCCTTGGGGAAGTCCTGTAGCCCCTCATGGGCCACCCCCATGTTAAAGTAAAGGTCCCCCAAGTGCTCCCCAGCCTCTCCCTCCTTGGGCTGGGACTTGAGTAGGAACTCCAGGCCCTTTTCTGGCTTCCCGGTCTCCACGTAGGCCGCCCCCAGGTTGAAAGCACAGGCCTTCTGGACCTGCACGCTCGGGATTTCCAATGACAAGAGAAAGGCCTTCTTGAAGCAAGCCAAGGCCTCCTGAGCCTCCCCATGCAACAGGGCCTGGTGGCCTGCCTTGGTGAGGTCTTCGATCTCAGCTTGGCTCTTCAGAGGCTTGTCTCCTCCTTCCCCTGCCTCCGCAGGGGCCTTGGCCTTCTCCTTCCATTTCTTCTTCTTCTTCTTGGAGGCCAGAGGTGCGGGGGGATCCAGGTCCACAGGGGGAGCTTCTGACCCAGTGGATTCTACCGAAGCCATCGACAGTTCTGGCGATGATGGGACATGGAGGGCCTGCGGAAGACAAGAGGAGGGGTCACACAGATGGGTCCATACAGGGACTGATCTAACATGGGAGGCTTCCCACTGACTACAATGGCTGTTGAATCAGACCCAAAAGTAACATTAGGTTAGCCTCTAGTCAGGCCACTGCTCCGGTCCACCATTATCCCCCCCACATCTGCGTGGGATATTTCATTGCATGGCTGCGACCACCAGCATTTCCTTGCAGGCAATCGCTCCCACAAGCAGCACGTGAGCAGGGAAAGGCCAACACGAGCCAATGGCCGGAAGTTGAAGCTAGACCAATTCAGACTGGAAATCAGGTGTAAATTTTTGACAGTGAGGGCAATTAGCCACTGGAACAATTTGCCAAGGGTCGTGGTGAAGTCCCCATCGCTGACGATTTTAAAATCAGGACTGGATGTTTTCCTAAAAGCTCTGCTCTAGGAATTATTTTGGGGAAGTTCTCTGGCCTGGGTTACGCAGGAGGGCAGAGAAGATGATCACAACGCTCCCTTCTGGAATCTACACATCGATGTATACAAGGGCGCAGATTTAACACCAAGCTCCAAGAGCAGCCCACGTCTAATTCATGGCAGATGGGAGGAATTTTTCCCAGGTGTGGGGTCATGGCGTGAAGGGGGGGCTATCCCATAGCAGCCTTCTGCTGGTTTCCTCTAAAGCCGTTGGGATTAGAGACAGGATAGTGGCCTAGATGGACCACTGGTCTGATCAATTCCTAAGTTCCTAGCCATGATGGCTAATATTTTGCCATGCACCACTCTGCCGCTGCTGCATATGGGGCCAAATGCAGCCCCTGGGATACTTGATGTACTTCCGAAAGCCCCTGCTCCTAGAGTCAGGTGATGACATGCCAATCTCAGCTTTCATTTTTTCAAAAATAATTTAAGTTTCTAGCTCTTACGGTTGAAGAGAAAAAGCTTCAAAACGTGACCTGGGCACAGCCCTAGAGACTATTAAAAAAAAAAAAATTCTCTGCTCCCTCTGCACATTCCTACTTGAATCGGGGTGAGGAGTAGCCAGCGGAAGACAAGAGGAGGGGTATAGCTAACGGAACAGTAGCTGAGGGAATATAGCCAGCTGGTTAATAGTCCCGCCTCTGCCACTGACTTACCAGGTGACATTGGGTGAGTCACTTAACTTCGCTGGGGTAGATTTTCAAAAGCCACGCCTTCCATTGGATTTAGGTGCCTAAATGCCATGAAAAATCTCCCTCTCTGAGCCTGAGTTTTCTCAGCTGCAAACCAGGAATAATCCATAACATTACTTACCTAATGCTTCATGATTGTTTGCAGAGCGCGCCCAAGATCTTAGATGGCAGGTGCAGATCACGGTTCTGATGCCAAAACGCCGGTGGTCTCAAAGAAGCATCCTGAATGGTTCTCAGGAATGTCTAAGGCTCCTTGAAATCATCCTTAGGCCAGGCTGCTTCAATGCCCAACCTTGCAACACCCCAGAAAGTTGGAGCTGCGTGCTCTGATCAGACCAGCTCCCCGTGAATTACACTCAAGCCTGCAACAGGCTGCTTGTTCCTCTGAGTGTTAAGAAAGTGCTAAGGAAATGAGTGAAACCCAGGCAGGTGAACCTGCATGGTTCTGTTGAGCTCTGGGGTTCTTCCTCCCGGGAATGCTTCCCCATGATGGCCCTTAGGGCTCTGGTTTCTTCTCAATCGCCTTCCCATTGCTTGAGACACATTGGGCCGCCCCATGGCAACCAGCTGCAACAATGCTGGGCCCTCCTCCGCTGGGGCATGTCACCTGACGGATGGTTAAATCGGCCTCTCAGGGCTCACGGTTGGGGTGGGTGTTTATGAATCACACTTTATGGATTTTAAAAGACTAAAAGGTGGGTGAATAGAGCACAGGTGGAAGGTGCCAGATCAAACGCCCTGGCGACTGGAGTCCTCTTTATCCACAGAAAGGGGGACGGCCCTGGTATCGCTTCCCCCGCACACTCTTCATGTAGGGTGACCAGATAGAAAGTGTGAAAAATCGGGACGGGGTGGGGGGTAATAGGCACCTACATAAGAAAAAGCCCCGAATATCGGGACTGTCCCTATAAAATCGGGACATCTGGTCACCCTATCTTCAGTCTTGGAGCCTCTAGTAAGGCAGCCAGCAAAGGAGCCCGTTAGTAACAATGAGGGTGGCTGGTTTTGTGGATGGCTGAGACCCACCAAACTCACTGCACATAAGCCACCGATTTGCCATCAGATGCTGCTGCTCCCCCGCATTTCTGTGGGAGTTTTAGCCAGACCCAGCTGTTGTTCTGGTGCCCCTGGCGGGGAGCTGGTAGCTCTTCTCCTGAGACACCATCCGCTGCATATCTCTGTCTCCTGCCACAGTCAAAGGGCATGAAGAGATTTGCACACCAGTCGAACTACGTGATCATTTGTATGACATTAGCACCTAGAAACTCCAACTGAAATCAGAACCCATGGGGCAAGGCACAGCACTGTCTGTAAATACAGTGAGAGACAAGTTCCTGAACCAAAGAGCTTACGCTCTATAAGACAAGACAAAGGGTTGGTGGGGAAACTGAGGCACGGAGCTGCAGTGAGTTGGCCACGGTCACCCGGCAAGTCATTGTCAGAGTCAGGAACAGACCCCAAATCTCCGGAGCCCCAGGCCACCGGACCACACTGCCTCTCAGTCTAATTGTAGGGCTATTCTCTTCTCCTTCCTTAGTTTTGGCACCCTGACTTCCAGCACTGGGCAGGGTGTGTGGGGGTTAGGGATATACCCACAGCCCTTGCAGCTGCTGGGTATTTTAGTGTGCAAGCCAACAGGATTAGCATGGGTCACTTCATCAGTGGCTTTTGCAGGGTGCTTTGTAAAACAAAGGAGGCCAACTCCTTGCTCCAGCTCATTCAAATAGGGACATGATGCATGACAGGTGCTGAAGACATGCCCCTTTCCAAGTAGCTGCAAAGAATCACAGGCAAGAGTTAGCCCTGATGTAACTCCCAGGGCTCCAGTGGAATTGACCCCAGGGATGGATCTGGCCCTGCATTCCGCATTGTTCCAGGTCACAGTTGCATGAACAGCACAAAACAACCTGACAAAGCAGCACAATCACCTGCCTCCACTGACAACATTGGAGCACTTTAGGGTGTATTAAGAGAGTGAACATAACACCCTGCCATTCTCACTTGTGCACCTCAGTTATTAATTAATTAAACCTCACAACACGCTTGGGAGGTAGGTGAAGGCTGTAAGGAACTGGCTAGCATATGCGGTCTGTTGCCCTCTACTGGGTGGAATCAGAAGGGCTCCGCTGTGTGTCACAGGCCCTATAGTGCTAAGAGCTAATGAAGATTCTCTTGTAGTTCAAGTGGCAGGGGTCTGTGTGCTTGGAACAGAGGGGGCACATGTTTCAGTTCTGTCCCTGCAAACTTCTGAATGACCCCCATGGGGCACAGCATTAGTGACAGCTTTGAAGAATTAAGTGGCAGTGACTGTGATATCTTTCTCATCCTTCCCATTTCACAGATGGGAAAACTGAGGCACAGAAAGGGGAAGAGAATTGCCCACAGTCAGATAGTGAGTCAGTCCCAGAA